CCCCAAAACCCCAAAACCCCGTCATGCATATGATTAGATTGAGATTGGACAAATTATTATTTTTAAATAGTTTTAAAAAACAAATATTAACTAAAAGGAAGTAGCAATGGAATATAGAGAAGAAGATATTGAAATGGATGAAGTTAATGAAGACTATTAAGAGATCATAGGTGCTTCAAAACAGCATTCTATAGATGATGAATCTCAACTATCTAGCTTTCAGTCAATGAGAGACTAAGGAGATGATTTTTGGAAGATATATCAATCTGACTATTTAGATGAAGGCTAAATATCAGTCAAACTTGGAGTGGGACTTGACAGTAACTTTGAGTAGCAGGAAGAACCTCCATTTATCATTAGAGAAGGCCACGGAAGAGTTCAATCCCATTGTGCTATATGTAGCACATATTTCAGGCCAGATGACCTTACTGCTTATTGTCTCTCTTCGTGCACTAAATTTGAAGCTAAAAATTTAGACTATCACTTGTTTTGTCTTCTCTAGTTTTCACTAGAAGCATTCCCAATTTAAACCCATCATTTGATCTGCATAGAATGTTCAAGTAACGCACGAAAGAAAAAATAAGCTGGAGTGGGGTTTAAGGTCTGCGCTATAGTTGATGAAAAGGTTCAACTTCATGTGCAAATAGATAATAATCAAAGCTTAAATGCAACAAGAATGCTTCAAAGCAGTCTCAGATCAAAGAACTAAAAGGTTACAATGAGCAGCTATTATACGTGGTATGCATGGAACATTGTAGCTATGTAGCCTGAGTTTAAAAAAGCCATTCTATACTATCATAACAAAAAGGGCTTCAATAGACTCTATGTTAAAGCTATGCAAAACTATTGTTTGTTAGAGTAAGCTAAGTAGAAACTTGTCAATCATAAAAGATAAGAAGTTGTAAGGTAAATAAATGACAAAATATTCAAGCAAATAATTGAGAATTTGGATCAGACAGGCTAAAAGTAGATAAGGACATTGTTTTATCATACAGACATTAGAGAAGAGGAATGGAAGCTTGACTTGGAGGAAGTATTTAAGAGTATGCGACAGCAGATAGCTCTTTAGATGCTCGTATTATTAAATGATCAGTGCTTGATGTACATGAGTAACAAGGATTTAAGAGAGTTGATATATGTTTAAGAGATGGTTGAGATGTAATAAGAGATGAAAAAATAATGACAGGAGTCTGGCCAATATGAACAATTATTTTAAGTATATACATTTAATTTGTAATTGAATATCATAAATTTAATTATTTATGAATCCTGGGGTTTTGGGGTTTTGGGGTTTTGGGG